AATTTGTGTGCTACATGTCATTTCGTTATTATGTACTTAATTGTGAAAAAGTAACATGTCTCGTACTTATGAAAGTCCTATAAATGGGCAGAAACAGTAAGAAGGCTCTTACTAGAAAATTGAGTTTACAATTCCATTCAGTAAGAAATTTCTTTACCTATCTCATGTAGACGGAATGAAAATGGATGGAATGTCGCCTTGGTCGCAAACTAATTTGCTTAATTTAATCGATATTTTATTATTTTAATACGACTAAAACAGTAATTTGCATTATTTATGCAATTTTCTTATCTATACTTTAAATACTCAAAAATACTAAATTATAAGGAGCTCCGCACAATAAAAGGAATAGGGAACAAAGTACAGGGAATAAATATTTCAATTTATCAGAAACTGTGTCTTCCATGATTCCTTTTATGTGTAATACATGATTCCTTTTATTGTGTGGAATCCCTAAGAAATCCGTTCTGTGTACATGGAGGTACCGTTCTATGTACATGGAATCGGACCGACGAAATAGATTTATTACTAGAAATTTTGAGATCAATTATCTTACTTATAATATTACTTTGAATACTCAAAAATATTGAATTATAAGAATAATGAGATATATTTTGTTACTTAAAATTTCCGATCACATGGGACGGGTAGAGAAAATTTTTACGGAACGGAATGGCATGTTCAGCTGAGTTGATTGAATCTAAATATTGAAACGAATATTCAGAAACTTTTTTTGTAAATCTACAACGATGGATGAAATAGTGTTATTACTAATATTAAAATTATATCGAAAGGCAAGAAATGTTGGCGTGCTATTCCGATATTTAAGAGTGCGCGAAAATTTTATTTCGCTTATAACGTTTATTACAACAGCAGAAATATACAAGAAAACAAAAATTCTGAATACAGTCAATATTTACACAAAGAATGAGGCGGCGCATCAAGGCGCAAGTGATTTAGTCTTTGAATGCAAACGACCGATCATGAGAAGTTCTTCAATTACTTTAGAATGACATCGGAATTATTTTAAAAATTGTTGGCATTATAGTTGGACTGTATATATAAAACAAGAATATGTCGTATTGAAACATAAGAATTATTATTAATTTTCTTCTTCGAAATTGTCAAATTCTCAATTATCAACAATTGACATAGTTTACAATCGACATGACATACCGTTGATTCTGTTTTGTCTCTATACCGTTCCGGTTATGATTCCGGTGATTCCGATACAGTAGAGAAACTTCTTACGGAACGAAATTGTTACTGATTTGATTGACTTGCTTTATTTGTTTTGATACAAACGTTAGTAATAGTATTACAAGGTAAAGGTTATCTCTTTTACAAAAAACGCTGTGATAGAAAATAATAACGGTCGCTCCTCTCTGTGAAGAAGCAAACATGGCGATCGGCTAGAGTTTCAGAAACCCTTTGGGGAGAGATGTGTCTTTCATCATGTGCCTCGTGCGTCTTCACTTATGGGTTCAAATTAAGCGTTAACAGGAGTGAACTGATTTCTAGTAAGAAATCCGTCGTTCCGATTTCGTATACATGGGATGGCATCCTAATACGTGAAAGTATACATTTCATTCATTTTAACAGCTGTTCAAATAATGTTCCTGCCCAAAATTAGGTTCACTTTACCTTTTAGGACTATTTACTGATTATTAAGGGAGAAAAGGACAGTTTCTGTCCATTTTTATTTTAAAGCAATCTCGCGTATTTAGATTTATCCAAATTCTGTCTTTATTTACAAATGGCTTGCAGCATAAATTAATGTGTCATTCCTCGCTTCTGATGATTGCAACATGGCCGCTGCGACTACTCAAGAGCCATGACGTTATATGTACATACATATTATGTACTTATTCAACAAAATAATTGACCATTGTGATACATCTTAGTATGGACCTTTTTTTAGAACTCATATTTTATAGTAACAAGATGACCATTATGCAAGACATTCCAGACCAAGTCTGTAGAAAGCAGATTTTTTTAAATGTCTGTTACACCCTATGCCAACAAAATAAATAAAATAACAACAGAATTAGATATACATACATAATACTGTTGACAGACTGCTAGAAAAAACATAATAGAATCTACAAGCATGTGGACAGGATGCTCAATTTCTGCCAATAATTTGCCTTCACATTATGTCGACAAGCGATGTTAACAAAAGTCTAATGCGGACGCAGTTGATGACAGACTGCCGTCATTTTCTGCTCGAACGTACTGATAGTCTGCTAGAAGACTGCAGACATTTTGCTATCTGAGTATCATGCGCTGTTAATGTGTAACTATCTTATCTTCAGAATATTTATTTATATTACGTATTAGGAATAAATTTTAATTTATGTAATTTGTATTAAAAAGGACCGAAATCATTGGTCGAAACATTTACTTTAGTTCAGAATGAATAATAAAAGTTGTACCGTTAATTGTATTGGCTCTCTGTTGACAATTTTTTTCTCCTTTTATATTAAATTCTTTTTTAGCATATAAATTGATGTAAAAATCAGGATTTGACAAGATGAGCCCAATCCAATAAAAAAAAACTTGAAAAACCCAAGATGAAATGGTGCTCAAAATTGCATCAATGTCACAAAGCGCAATTGCTGATGGAATCAAAATAATAAAAGTTTTTGATGTATAAGGATCGAAAATCAAGGTTTTTTTATTAGAGATTAGTAGAAATTTTTAAAAATTTCGATTCTTTCAAAACTAAAAAATTTCAAATTGACAAGTTTTTGTTTTATAAATCACAGAGTAAACAAACAAAAACTGAAATTTTGTTTTGAAATTTTTATATGAAATTATTAAAAACTATGTGTCTGATTTTTCCTTTAATTATTTGTTAAATTATAATATTATAATGTACAAAATTTGATTTCTCAAAAATATTATTTTCTTCACAAAAAATTCACAAAAAATTTATTAACAAATATTTTAAACATAATAAATATTTTAAGATCTCATAATAAAGTTTTTTCTCAATTTTTAGAAAATTGAAAAATTTAATTTATTTTTAGTTTTAATTTTCATCCTTCAAATATCAAATAGTAAATGTATTAATGTATTAAGTGTATTATTTATTATGTATTTTTTTTAACAAATTTGTAAAAAAATCTATACATAATGAACATTTTAGGATCTAACATGTGATGAAATCATTTTTTATAAAAAAAATCAATAAAAATAAATTGAAGAATGATTGATTTAAACCCGACTGATCTGATTGATTTGGTTTATGAATTTTTCTTATTACAGATATATGTAGTACAGATATATGTATTCATTAATTAATAAATTAAATAAAAAAAATCAAATAAATTAAATTGAAATTAATTCACAATATAATTATATAAAAGGGGAAGTCAATAAGTTCTTAGAAAATCTGTCAGACGGCACTCGCAGTGTCATGTCACATTACTTTTTGACAAGTAGTATCTCTCAGCTGATTACTGTCAAAGCTGATTACTATTATTTTGAGCGGAATTCATCACGTAGTTTCATTTCTGTAGATTAAGCGAACAATCTTTGTATTTTTTGCAAAATGGAAAAAATAAGTTTCGTGCAATAATCAAACATCTACATATGAAAGGTTTAACGCTGAAAGAAATCAAGGCAAGTTGAATAATGTTCACATCTGCACTTCGTTTTGCGATTGTATGCAATTGGGTGAATGAATTTAAACGTGGTCGTACATCCACATGTGATGCATCTCTTTCGGAACATCCAATTGAGGCTGCTATGCCAGATACCATCGATAAAGTCCACGATATTGTTTTGACCGAAAGTGCGACGAGTGAAAGTGCGCGAGCTTGTTGAGGCCACAGGCATATCACATGGCACAGTGATTTCAATTTTGCACAAACAATTGGGTATGAAAAAGGCAAGATGGATGCCGTGTTTGTTCACTGGATCATAAGCGCGACCGTGTGACGCTTTCAAAGTTTCGAGATATTTCAACGTAATCCAGATGAATTTCTGCGTCGATTCATTACTGTGGACGAAACAGATCCATTATTTCATACCCGAGACGAAGGAACAGTCAAACAATGGACTTCACCGGGTGAACCAGCTCCCAAAAAGGCGAAGACTGTAAAGTCGGCCAGAAAGGTGATGGCCATGGTTTTTTGGAATGCACGCGGTATAATTCATATTTTCTGTCGAAGCAAATGATCAATGACGATTACTACGCAACCTTATTGGACCGTTTCAACATTTTAAAGAAAAAACGTCCCCATTTCCATCAAGACAATGCACAGGTTCACGTGCCCAGCACCAAATTCAACGAATTCCGCTACGAATTGCTTCCCCATCCAGTATATTCGTCAGATTTAGCCCCCGATTATTTGCTGTTTCCAAACCTGAAGAAATGGTTCGGAGGAAAGAGATTCACCACCAGAGAGCAGTTCATCGCCGAAACAGAGGCTTATTTTGAAGAGTTGGACAAATCATATTATTCGGACAGCTTGAAAAAGTTGGAGAATTGGATCAAGTGAATCGAGCTGAAAGGAGACTATGTTGAGAAACAAAAATCGATCAAAAAAAATGTGTTTTATTATGTTTTTTAAAAACTTATTGACTTGCCCTCGTATTATATTAGCGAATCTTGCTTATCATTAATAGATTGAAAAGAAAAAAGCGCAAAAAACCCAGATTTTTTTTTAATTCCCTCAGAGTCGATTTTTTTTTAAACCCTGGTAGAAATGCTTTCAGAATATTGTAGAGTAGCTTAAAATATGAGTCTCTCAACACTGAACCACTTTTAATTAAAAAAAATCTTGGACAAAATGCATTTTGAAAATCTGCTCCTCATATGATGTTACGATTTTTTATCACGAAAAATTATGTAACATTCAACATAATAAAAAGAGGTTACTTTTTACACTTTTACTTTTTGCCTTTCACTTTTTATTGTATCATTTTTTTGGTAAGATAATTTTCATGAAATAGATCACTTCCTGATCATAACCATAACCATAAATATGACATAACCATAAATATGAACTGTTTATTGAGAACATACAGTACAGTACAAGTTATTGCATATTACATTCGCACAATAAAGTAAATATCATTCTCAGCAGTATGGTCAGATTGTTGACATATTTCTATCTATATCTATTTTTCTCTAATTTTATATTTTAAATATTTATTTGTTTTCAATTGATTCCTCGGGTGGGCCAAAGTTAAAGAAGATATTACCTGATATTTTTACCTGAAAATGAAATGCAGGATTTTATATATATATACACACACACACACACATACACACACACGCGCGCGCGCGCGCGGGCGCGCACGCACGCACGCACGCACGCAAATGATATAAATCATCTAATTTGTAATTTTTTACAGAGTGTTTTATTTTAAGTGATATGGTCGACTATCTTGCGAATCAATGATTTTATTGAAAAATTTTTCGAACGAAAGTTGCTTAAAGGGAGATACATGGAAATGTGGACTTGATCTTGAGTGACCTTGTCAAAATCATTAATGTTTTTTTAAATGGAAACCCCTATTTTTTATTACATATTTTTGTAGCTTATCTCGAGAGCTTTCCGAAACACTATAATAAAGTTATGTTTTATTGATTATTTTCCGAATTATGGAGCTTGAAAGTTACAGTATAGCCGGCGATATCTATATAAGCGCGTGTGAACAGGATTCTTACGCGCGCAGGATTTTCTCCGCGAGCTATTCACACTGCTTAACATATGCTCGCGCGGAATTGAGTGCAATCTTTCCCAATTGAACGATTCAACTTTCCTCTTTTTTTCGTATAGCTTTTTCTTTCAATTTTTTTACATTAGTGGACTTTTTCAAAATAATCGCTTATAATTCAAATGAAATCGTTGATATTATTCTTGTGCTTGGTGAAGCTGGATAAAATTATATTGTAAAGCAGAAAGATTGTATCGTAATAGATATCCGTTTAGACATCCAAATGCAATGTAAATAAGAATTTTATTACGAGATACCGAATTAATCTTGTCTTAATCGGACGAATTCAGTGATCGATCTTGCCTTATAACTTAGCAAGTACTTAACGAAAAGTAACTTTATTATAGTGTTTTGGAAAGCTCTCGAGATAAGTTACAAGAATATATAATAAAAAAATAGGGATTTCTATTTAAAAAAAACATTAATGATCTAAACCTGATTTTTTGACAAGGTCAAGTCCACATTTCCATCATGTGTTTCCCTTCAAGCTATGCAACTTTCGTTCAAAAAATTTTTCAATAAAATCATCAATTCGCGAGATATCGATCATCATATCATTTAAATCATATCATTTAAAATAAAACACCCTGTATACAACAAAATATAAAATTTAATATATATATAAAACACAAAAATTACATTATAATATTGGGTCAGGAAAAAAATTTCTTCGTATTTAAAAAAAATTATTTGCAAAAATTTTTCATTTGTTGCGAAATTATTATTACAATTATATCATTCGTTAGAGCAAAGTTTCAGCTTTAAGAATCTGTTTTTTAAATTGATGATTTTTATCGGAGTTATGAGCAATAAAAGTCAGAATGTTCCTTTACTTAACTCGCGAATAACTCAAGAACAAAAAATCGTAGGAACATTTTTAAAAAATAATTTTGTAGGGAAAGCTTCATGATAGGTAGTCGAAAATTTTTTTTGAGCACGTGAGAGATCCCCAAAGGGAAAAGAAAATTTTTCAGTTATAGTTTTTTAAATATAAAAATTATCAAATTCACAGAAACTCAAAAAATATAGTAACTTTTCGAGATTTGAAGCTTTAAAACCCTTTTTTAAATTTAAATTTCGTTCATTTTTGATAAAGATATCGTACATTACAACTTTACAATTTTGAATATTCTAATTATTTAGAATATTCCTCCCCCTCCTCCTAATCTCATCTTAATAAAAATACATTTATTCGACGTGTTTTCACTAAAAATCTGGCAAAAAAACGCGGTCGGCCTCGTGAATAGAGTTATTAAGCTTCAATCAAAGTTGGAGACTTTAGAGATTAAGATATCCATCATCCCGATTCGATACAGCTCTATACATGTACGTTCTGCGTTAATTACATAAATTTACTGCTTTAAAAACATATTTACTACATTAAAAATACAAATTCACTGCTTTAAAAGCACAAATTAACTACTTTAAAAACACAAATTCTTTGCTTCACAAACGCAAATTCACTGCTAATGCAAAGAATTTATGTGCTTAAAGCAGTGAATTTTTGTTTGTAAAGTAATGAATTTGTGTTTTTAAAGTAGTGAATTTGTGTTTTTACAATTAATTTGTATAATTAATGCAGAACGTATACATAGCGCTATATTGAGTCAGGTGACAGATATCTTAACCTCTAAAATTTTCAACTTTAACACTTAATAATTCGATTCACAAGGCCGATCGCCGCGTTTTTTTACCAGATTTTTTCGATTTAAGTGAATAAGTGTATTTTTATTAAAATTTGAGGTGGGAAAGGGGGGGTTATTCTAAATATTACCTTAAAAAATATGAAATTTTTCCCTGATCCAATATATCAAGAAATATGCATTAGAATAAGATTTTATAATCTGATACATTATCTGAAGTAACATAAATTTAATACATACATAAGCTATGGTACCAATTAGTATACCAATACCAACAATTAATTGAGTATTGTAAACTTTCTGTCTTGCGTCATAATATTCTTTCCATGATCCACATGGTCCAGGTATGTCATTTATTGTTGGCAATTTAAATACATCATCCATAGCTTTTGAACCGGAGGAATGACTGCCTTTAATGAAAAATATATTCAGATGAAAATATTATTTTTTTAATTCTTAATTATATGCAATTTATAGATTATTTCTGATTTATATATTTTTGCAAAAATAATTCCAATTTCAATATATTTTCAATTTTTCAATTTCAATATTAGACCTGTTCGTGTTGCTTGAAATTCTCCAAAATTTTTGAACTTAAAATAGAGATAAATATATTTGGGCATTGAAAAGAGAGAAAGCAAAGATTCTGAATACAAAAAGTGCAAGCAATGCAAACAAATCTGATGACAATTCTAATTAAAATAAAATATTTCTTGTATCAATTTGAAATAGTCCTTGCTTTAGACAAAATGCTACTGTTAAATATTCGAGTGATATTATATTAAGTCAAATTTATAGAAAATCAGAAACCATAAAATCTAATGTTAAGGCAAAGAATATATTTTATGATAAATTACATGACTGTACTTTTACAAGAGCATTTTCTTATAATTCACAATTGATTATTTTCATAAATTCACAAGTCTATTTTCATAAATTCAAAGTAATTGGCAGAAAACATTAAAGAATTTATCATTACGAGCACAAAGGATTTTTATATTTATTATTATTATCGCTATGGATTTACTCGGAATAACATTTAGCGGCATTCATACGTAATAGCAAACATTACATAAGATATAGAGTTGATTGTATCACGGATTAGCACGAATGGCTTTAAAATAATGAAAATCTCACCACTTCTGATAAAGTTACGAGTGATCGGTCGCAATATATGATTAAGCATTTCGACGTAATTAACTTGTCCTCGATGCACAAGAAATCTACGAAATGTGACACAAAGCAGACGAAATATTGTTGACAATTTGACCAAGAGATATATTGAATCGACAATGGTCGACAAAAGAAGTGTTGCCACAATATAAGCCTAATTTACATCGAGGGTTCGATCCGAGTCAGAATGTAAGGGGATTGCATAATAAAAGGAACAAGGAACAAGGAACAAAGAACAGAAAATAATGACCGTATTCATATAAATTTATTTTTGGATACTCTACAAATTATTTCATTGGTTGCTGAGAATTTATCTAAAGATAAATTTAAGGAAGCCTTAAGTACAAGATCTGACTATGAATATAGGCATAGAACGCACTTACACAATGTTAGCGCGATACATGCTATAATTTACGTTACGCATATTATAGAATTTTAGAGATAAAAGCGCGTTCTGAATTGGGTCTAAGAATTTCAACCTATCAGAAACTATGTATTTCACAATATGTGATTTCTGATTGGTTGAAATTCTTATTCTTTGTTCCTTTTATTGTGCGGACCTCCTAAGGGCTATTCCACACAAATTTCATATATAATCATATTTTACGTTTGTCTTTAGACAGAAATGTGATTGGATAATTTTCTTTATGCATATGTTTATGCGGCTATGCAAGTTTGTATGGAATGGCCCTAAGAATTAATTGCAGTCGAGAATTCGACTATTAAGTATGGGAAGCACAGATTCGGCTCCCCGCTTAACAGAAGAATGCTCGACTGCAGTTGATTCTTGCATTTTGATCCGGATCGAACTTTCGGAGTAAACTAGGTCAGTGACAAAGATAAAATGATATATCGACTTGTGTCATCAAACGGAAAGCATATAAAGCCGAGTTCACATCTTGATGGAAAAGCGGAAGCAGAAAAGCAGAACTCACGAAAAGAAGCAGATAAGCGAAATGTATTGCTTATTACTATTTCGAGTTCCAATTGGCTTCCGCTTTCCGCTTTTCCATCAAGATGTGAACTCGATCTAAAGTTTGTTTGCGTTGTATGCTCTAATGGCTCCTGCACATAGAGCTAGGGTACGTTCCGTTTCTTGCATGAAGCGCATGAGTATTTAGTGCATGACATGGAGTGCAGGGTAGGGAAACCGTTTCTCCAATGTAGTTTTAGTAACGGAACAATGAATTCATGCAGTGAACATGGACGATTTAAAATTGACTGAATTATAAATGCATTCAATAATTATTGTTACATCTTCTTTTTTGACAAAAGAAGATTTATATTTTTCGAGTAGCACTTACAATCTCATTCTGCAAGAAAAGAAAAATAAAGTGTTTTATCAAAGTGTTCAAAAAAGATGTTTAATATCTATTTCTAAAATATTAGAAATTTAACAAAAATTTTACAGATTATTTTTACATATATTCAGACACTTATAACAAAATCCAAAATCGATGTTCACTGTGAAGCAACTTGAAGTTATAAGAGTGTAAAATATAAAGATTTTAAGGTTAAATTTGAGATACTGTCAAAAATTTTTCATTTTTTTCAAAAATAATTAGCAATAGAAATTCAAAAGTACATTTCCTGCATTTTAGTTATGAGTAAATGATAAGATTCTATCTACAATCTTTATTATTCAAATATATGAAAACAGTACCTATTCGTCAAAATCAAATTTCAGAAACTTTTTGCTATAATTATACATATAAAACATCCTTAAAGTCCGTTATTTTTATTTTCCTTTGTCTATCTTGTAAAGCTAACTAAGGTAACTAAGATAATGACTAATGTAAACTTAACCTCTATCATAATCTACTATTTTATATTCAGGAATTTAAAATATGAAAAATAGATATGAAAAATAGTGGTAATATATCAATATATTAATTTTTCAGTATTATATAAATCAGGGACTAAAACCCGATATTCTATAGCGATATACGCAAAACCGAGATCCAAACCAGTATTGGATCCAAATACGTTAAATACCGATATTCAACCGAAATTTTCATAATATCAGTATACGCATAATTTTTCGTTAATAGTATTATACTGTATATATATTTTATAATATATGTATATATGAAACGTTAAATTAAAAAAAATTTTGGGTATTCTGAGCACCGTACTTACGTATCTTTAACTCTTACGTGATTTTGAGTACACTCGCCTCAGCCGAGCCACTCATGATTTCAATTTCGCGCTAAAATATGTTGAATACATAAGCTACATGAACTGCCTCAACTCGAGAGGTGAGCACTTCATGCAATCTCATGCACCGGAAGAGGAGTCATGCAATTGGCAGTAGATTGAATCATGCATACAGTGAGTGTGCATGAAAAGAAACGGAACGAACTTCTATGTTTCTATGCGCATCATGCAGGAACGCACCCCTAGAAATAAGTATTCGTGTTCATTTTTATCTTTTCTTACTCCTTGCTCGGTCCCCATTTCATCGCTGAACTGTGACGGATTATGGTCATTACAGATTATTGTTTGATTATTATTATTTGTATTTGCTGTTTGAAATTTTATAGTTCCTTTTATTTCATTTTTGCTCTCAAAATCAGTTGAATATCTACCGTAATATTAGTGCAGGATCTGAAGAGTGTCTGGCGTTCAAGTTATTTCTAGATAAGGTGCAAAATATTTAAGTCAATTTGAAGAAAAGGATTGAAATTTCTCATCTGCGAGGAAGTGTAGTGATGTTTATTCACAAGTCATGTATTTATTTTACAGCAATATAGCAAGTTGTTGACAAAAAGATTTACCGCGCGACGGAAGTTATCGTAAATTAATAATTCTATGTTTTTAAGTCGGCCTCACCATACAAAACTTCTAGAAATGATGTAATATTACTTCCGTCGCGCGGCAAAAGTTGGATTGAGCGCGGTGGAAATGATATATCTATTACCTTCGAGCAAGCAAGACGTTGATTGACTATCGCGCCAACTTCCGCGATAAACGTTACCGCATTCTGTGTGCAGGAGCCATGATGGCTATGGTCAAAGTCTCGCTACAAATGCTTTGAAACATTTGATGGACTAATGAGAGACGAAAGAATTTTACAAACTGGTCAATTAAAAAACGTTTCAAAGTGTTTGCAAAATCGCGTTGACCATATGCTCGCATGCTCCAATATGCTCCTGTCATAGCTCTTTCTCACTCCAATGTCCTTAGAGTGAATAGGAACTATGGCGACGGGAACAAATCTCTTGGGTGCAGTCGAGTTGCCGCTATGAATGCTTCAAATCATTTTTTTGATTAGTCAATTAGTAAAATATTACGATTAGTCAATTAGTCAATTAGTAATTCTTTCTTCCGATTCTTTCTTTCGGTTTTATCAAATGCTTCGAAGTATTTGTAGTGACAATTCGACCAAACCCCTTATACAGTATACAGTAGTGCAACTCTATCTCGGGATGTTTGATGTTAGTGAAATCAAAATTAGCGCGCATGCGCAAGTTGAGATATATGGTAACGCCATCTAGACTTCTCTCTCATTTACTCTCTTAGGCTGTCGCATACACCTTCCGTAACAGTAATCATAAGACCGTAAGAATAAGCTAATTACAGTCGAGAATTCTTTTGAATTCTGATTGACTGATTCTTGCATTATGTCTTATGTTACTGTCTCACGAAAGGTGTGTGCGATAGCCTACTCTTTTATCCTGTCCGAATCGTAGACTATGTCTATAGTCCAAATAATATCTTTCTAAAGCGAATTACAATGAGATTTGAAAACATTAAAAATTAAGTCGTAAGAAATTAACAAATCATAGTGAATTGTTGTCCTGATGATTCTTACGTCTTAAAATTTCATAAATAAAATCGCTTAATCTATTGAAACATTAAAGAAATCTAATTATAAAAAAGTATAAAATTAAATTATATATATGTAATTTATATATGTATATACATTTATGTGTGTGTGTGTGTGTGTGTGTCATGAATGTATTTGCCTATAAAGGGGGAATACAAATTTATAATTACAGAAAATGATGAACTTTATTATATTATGATAGAAAGTTTATCATGTATCTATGCATTTTTTTATTTTTTAAGTTTCTTTTACTAGATCATATTGTAAC